CCTTGGTTAAGATGCTGGATTCTTTCCTATACAACTAATTTGAAAAATAAGGTGTGCTTGGAAAATTATTCAGCCAATAGGCCACATTTCTGAGGCTGTTAAAATTGATGGTCATGTTGGAAGCTAACTAGTAACTGGCCTGTTTTCACATATAAATATGTATGCATTTTACTAATCAGATAATTCACTTAGCTCTGAATGTTTGTCGGACTTTTGCCTTCCTTACTAGGGAAATAAAAATAGTTTCCTGGTTCATAGGTGACTGGTAGGGGGTGCACGTGCCCCTGCTGACAGTGCCGATGCCCTCGCCCTCCCCCCCACCCCCCGGACAGCTGACACTGACGCTGTCGGTAGGGCTGGTGCCCCCTGTGACAGGGCCTTCTGTGGGTGTCCCCCTAGATTCAGGAGGCACCAGTCACTCATCCTGGTTGATTTCATCAGCAATAAAAAACCTGCAGTTGCTCAGTTCTACCCTACAGTCGCGGGGAGACCATCTGTGGGGCACATTTTAGAACTCTTTGGGTGTATATGGCCCTCAGTCCATTTTTGGGCATCTTACTGTATAGTTTTGCTGCTCTACTGGGTCAGGTTTATTTCTAACTAATTTTTAGGTTGAACAATATTGAACATTGAGTGCAACAGAGACTTAGTGATTGCTGTTAGCTTTTTACTTTTTTATTTTATAGAACTTTGTGATGACAATAAAGAATCAAAATCACTGCAAACCTAAGTGATTGTTAGCATGAGCAGTAATTGGAAATAACATCATTCTACATGAAAACAATTAGCTAAAGCCAGAGAGGCTTCTCTCACAAGACTGTAACACAATTAACCTCAAAGTTATCTAGTAGAATGAAAACTCCTCTTCTTTTTGGGAGAACTGCTAGAAGCTGTCCTGTACTAATAGGATTACAAAGAGAAAACAGAATCAGTCCCTGCTTTCTATCTGACATCTCCAACCTACATAGGATATAGATACCTATATAAAGTAGTCTTACACATTTCTTACTACTGCAAGTACTTGTTGAGGTAAGAGGTTCGTATTATGGTGTTGTATGCAGGACAATAATTTGGATGGATAGATTTATAGTTATAATTTCCCAGATGAAGGTGTTAAAATGATGTATGAAAAATTGATACTCAGGAAACTCCGTTGCAGAAGATTTTTTACACAGAAGAAATAATGCCTTGTGTGTTTACCAAGTACATTTCCCAAATATAGTTTTGCCAAATACTTCACCAAATAACTGCTATGTTATTGATAATAGTTAAGCCATGTAGGTTATATTCCTTTTAATTTTCAAAACATTTTGAACAAAACAAGTAGAGAAAACTTTGCTCTTAAGGAATTAGAGGCTACTGGCTCAGGAATGATACCACTTATTGTTATGTTAGGGAATAATAATTTTGCAACAAATAATCAAAGATAGAAGTATTGTTAAACACTGTTTAGAGATGGATTCAATATACTCTTCAACTCTGATTTACCTATGAAATCTTATGGATTTTCCTTGAGTTTATGTTTTTTGTTGCTGCTTTGTGATGGTTGCTTCATTCTGTTGCGTGTCTATGAAAGGACCTGTTTCCTTTAATAAAGTAAATGTTTTATGTGCAGCCAACCCAGTGTAAGTTTCACTGGGTGAATCAAGGATTATATGATAGGGTTCTCAGCCTTTTGTTATTCTGGATAAAATGATTTTTCAATTTCATCAATGTGGGCAAATGGGCAGGTAAAGTATAAAACTGTAGGTCTATAAGTATCCTAGCTTTACATAGTATCAAGTAGCATATCCCCCAGGATTCTTGGGTACCAAAATAATACGAGGTCTAGGAGACCCAGTAGATATGTTGTTTGGATGACTTTGAACAATGGATAAAGTGATCTGTCTCCAAGAGAATTCTTGTATGGAAAGCAAAGTTCTTTTCTTTTGTTTTCTATTCCTTTGGCTGCCCCACTGACCTCATATTTAGATATATTGGACCGCATTCCACTCTTGGCTATGACAGTGTATTCTCATTGGGCACATTATCTACATAGCACAATATAGGGGATATTTCTTTTTTTTCCGTCAGAACAGGATGTACGTCTTCAAGGGTGGAAGTAAGTATCTACTGGAGTTTCTGTATTGTTCCTGCAATATATTGTATTCAGTTTTTGTCCTAATATATGGTAGAGACTCAAGTCCTGGATTGTGGACCTTCTTCAACAACTTAATACACATGTTCTGGGACTAGGGCATTATTTTGAAGGAAGTCTGTAAGAATGGACAGACCCAAACTTGTTTCATTCTAGGAACTATTTGTATTAGTATCTTTTCCTTTTGGAATGTTAAAAGCTGATCTTAATCCCCAAAGGGGAATTCAGGAGAGACTGACAACAAGAAATGAGGGTTAAAAATAGCAGAGTTGACCTGAAATGCAAACAGTAGTTTATGTGCTAATTCAAGGTTTCTTTCTTGAACATTCATTCCCTCATGACTTAGTTAATTAAATTAGATAAAATATGTTGTTTGAATTGATATGCCAAAGTAACTTCTCACACAGAAAATAGTGTAAACTAGCAGTTTATCCATCCCTATTTATCTAACCTCTTGCTAACTTGAAACTCCTGGTTAACTGAAAGTCGGTCGTGTCCCCTGACAGCAATGTGTACCACGCATTACTCCCCTGCTTATCTAAAGAGACATCTGAAACCTTCAGAATAATGGAGTTTTGGATAAGTGGGTGAGCATTGCGTGAAGCACATTGCTATCTGGGGACATGACCAACTTTCACTTAACCGCACGTGTCACTTAACAGGAAGTCAGAAATACACTATGCAGGAGATGAAATGGGCATTGTGTGCTTAGTAGATGTGTGCTGTTAGATAAAGCATTTCAAAGTGCATTTTCAGGATGTCTGCAGAATACACCCTGCTTTTCAGTTAACCAGACCCTTTATATTTTCTCTGCTGTGATATTTTTGCTAGTTGTCCTAATGATGTAAGTAAGTGGTGATGGTCCTTGAAACTAAACATCACAAGGTGCACTGCAGGATTAGTGCTTTTGGTTTATTCATTACATTCAATTTAATTTTAATTGTGATGCTAAATTCACAGCTGGTTGGGCTGGCTAGGTGGACCAGCAGTAATACTACATGAAACCCGTCAAGCCATGCAAATTCAATATACTGTGTGTTTTTAATCCATTGTGCTTGTAGAGTTGCAAGCTTTTCAACTCAAAGAAAATAGTGGGAAAGGGCAAAGACTGTTGAAACAGTCTTTGTTGTGAACAGCAACACTTAATTTCTATAACAGCGGTATCTGTTAAGTGATTGAGTGGCATTCACAAGGTTCTTTGTTATAGCTTTCTGTTGGGAGGATGGCAGCTGTAATATAAATCTGTTTCTGGGAGACAGGGGGATGCTTCTGAAAGGCTGAGTAGTTCCTGTTGGGCAAAAGTGATCTTTTCTGGGTAAAGGTGAAATCCAAGATCATCCCCTGAAAACTCTCCCATCACATAAGTACAGAATAAATGTACTGAAGCAGTATCTGCTTGGAAAAGGGATTGGATCAGCGAATGGTATGGAAGAATGGAGTGCACCCAGCTGGTAGTGTAGAAGTAATCCTGTGCACTTTTGAAGAACATCCATACCTTGTTTTAAAAATTGGTAATGTGAAAAATCTCATCTGTCTCTTAACACTCAGATTTCCATCACTGTGGTTATGCAGCCATACAGAATGCAAAAAGACAAGAAAGCTTCTCTGCTGAAGCTAGTATTAAAATACTTTCATTAATCGTTCAGAAAAAGTGGAAAGAGTTAAAATGGCACAACAGGAACACTTCCCTTTCTCTTCCTTGCCCCTCTCTGGAAATCGTGGACCCAATCCTACAGCAAACTTGGGGATTCTGCCTGAGGAAGGGCTCTAGCACCAGGACTGATTTTGCTCAAGCCCACTTGAGTGTATCACTCAGTTGGTAATGTTATGCATTCAGTCATAAAGTTAACCTAATAACAGTCAAAATTCAGTTAACAGAAGGAGGGAAATGTCTGACCACCTTATTTTAATCTGTGGGAGATGGGGTAGGAAATACCGTATTTACTAAAATACAAGACTAGGTTTTGTCCCCCAATCCTCCTGGGGGAAAAAAGCTCCTCATTTTACATTCACATATAAGGAAGCCTCATTAAGTACATTGTCTATAATTTAACCACTGCCAAAAGCAGCATGGGCACTGCAATTGAAACCAACTATGAAATTGATTAGATGCAGCCAAAACTGAGCATGACTATAAAATACATGCCCCATATTGGGCAAACATACTGATGGGAACCTAACACAAGGCTAGGTTAGTGCAACCCATCTGAATAAAATATATGGTAATGTCCATTGTGCTCAATCCCACTTAGCACCGACTTTTTCAAGTCATAGTGAGCCACTACATTCAATACATTTCAGCTTGATCTTCATTCCCACAGCTAGCTGTGCCTTTCTTTCCCAATTTCCAATTATTCCTGTTTCTTCACCAGCCTTAAATATCTAAAATTGAAGGCAAACCTCCAATAATTAGATTGTGTGCCTGGAAAATTGTAACAAATTTAGAAATTTTCCATATATAGAATCTAATTGGGGGGGGGGGGTGTCATTTTATATTTGAGTAAATACAGTAGTCAGTTGTTTTGATGTCATGCCCTGCAACTTATATCACTTTTAAAAAGATCCTTGCAGTAGGCAACATGGTATTGCTTCCATGAGATTCAGCAGTGTCTTGACTACCTGACATTTTAGCCTTGAATTGTGACTAACAGCCCTAAAAATGGCTATTGTAATAATAACTTACCCATCCTATATTGTCTGTAGCCTGTGGATTAGAGGATGTCACGTGTAGAATGGTGTTTCCATGGAACCCATCAGTGAACTCTTGCCCAGTCAGTCAGGGACTGTATATCCTTGTTCGTGATATACTGTATTATACATTAGGTGCAGTCATTGCTCTTTTTATTTATTTATTTTATTCTAGGACTAAAGAGCCCCTTCAAGACAGCATAATAGCTACTTACGAAGAACATGAAGACAGTGTATATGCGGTGGAATGGTCCTCAGCAGACCCATGGCTGTTTGCCTCTTTAAGTTATGATGGGAGACTTGTTATTAACAGAGTACCCAGAACACTTAAATATCATATATTGTTATAATTTGTGTGGATTATCGTTAATTATTAATTTGGCATTCCTTTCAAAAGGTTTGACATTTGTTGTTGATTGTTCAGTTTTAGGAGTTTAGTACTCTTTGTTTGAAAGTGAACATTTACATTTTTTTTTTTTTTTTTAATGTTTGGAATAGCGGTGATATATTTTCCTCAAGTTGTGCTACTGTTTTTTTTTTTAAATATAATAAGTTTAATAAGGAAATTGTGAACAGTTGATTGTTATTAAAAGATATTGTTTTTGATGCATGGAGCTTTCTATACCATTGCTTTATTTCAGTCTTACACCTGATTTCAGTGGAGTTTCTCTTGAACCCACATAACTGGACTGAAGAACCAGTGCATAAGGCCAAAGGGGTCTGTTTATTTATAAGAATGTTTAAACTTTCTTCTTTTTTACATAAGCAGCCTTGTATTCTTAACTTGGACCACATTCTGTTAACTATTCTGGCTGATTCTTTAACGATCATAAATACAGCTGGGAGAGGTCTAAAAAGCTTTCTGAATTTATTCCATTTTAAACCATTCTTCTTCCTTCTCTATGTATCCTACCAAAAATGTTAAGGCTGAGGGTGAAGTCATGCAGACAGCTACAATCTATTACTTCCTTTTCATTCAGATTGCTAGTACAAAAAGCCCTATGAAAAATATTTTGCAGATGAATCCAATAGAAACGTGAACAGCGTACCACACTGTAACTTGTTAATTAAATATACTGTTATATAATATTTTTGTGTTGCATGTTATGAGTGATGATTTTGCTTTTTATCAAGAGCTATGATGTATGTTCTTCTGTAAAACATCACAGTATATACGTATAAGCCGACTGTCTTGTTTTTTGTACCGAGAGTCATAGCAACTATGCCATTGTTAACTTGAAAGTCTTCCATGACTACAACTCTGTCAGTTGTATTTGTCTCAGTGTTAATCCCCTGTATGTATACATGATGTAACAGGCTTTTGCCAAATCCCCATGACATTTTGGCACCAGGAGGAGGTAGCACTATCATTGGCCTGTTACAAATATTGAAGATTGCTTCATGGGAACATCTATCTGAGTGCATAAGACATTTGAAATCTAGATGGTGAGCACGTAAAGTAAGACTATACCTATTGACCCCCTCAAATAGCTATTATACTGTTCACTTGGCTACCTGCTGTATTTAGGTACTTAGACCAGGACTTAGAAGTTTTTTATGCCCCTCTCTGCCTCCAGGTGCTTTTGTTTCTGGCTAACTTCTGTACCTCAGGGATGTAGGAAACTGCTTTGGTGATGGTAACCAATTGCACAATATACAGCATAGGGTAAGGCTAAGCTGAAGAATCTGGTAATGAGGGATGGAAAGATCAATACCA